TGATGGGAATGCCACCAGCAGGCCATGTTTTGTCTCAGTGCCCATTTACTAAGGGCCAAGGTATGCCCCTGACCATTCTGGTCATGGACTTCCTGGAAGAGGTGATCATTCTCACACTTAAGACTGAGGAAATAAAAAAAGTGTGGTGTTTTCTTATGGAGAGAGCATGCCAGGCAGCACAGTTGCCTCAGCAAACATCCTTATGCCAGATGTGGCCCCTGGAAGAAGAGATGCCCTCATTCCACCACCACCCCCAGCCCCCAGGGATGGGTTCTGCCTTACTGACACTTACAAGAGTGAGGACAGACACAGATGTCATCAGCATCCTTGTTCCAGCTCCAGATACATACCTGTCCATGACTGAGTGAGCTCCTGTCCTTTTCCCGGAGGACCCTATGTCAGGGGCTGTTAAAGAGGATGAGTTACCAAGAAGGAACGATGTGCCCCTGGGAATCAGGGACTGACAGGAGAGAGCTCTCGAGTGGGCTAATGACTCCCCTTGCAGCCTGGTGCAGATGGTGGGAGGAGCTAGGAGCCCTCTGCTCTAGGATTTGGGCTGAAAACCAGAGAGAAGTGGGGAGTTGGCACAGGACCTAACAGGCTAGGAGGCAGTTGGAGGCCAGGTGAACTTTGTGTAGCAGAGGCCGCATCCTCCCTCATTCCAGCCCCATTCCTTTTCATGCTCCATTGCCAGACTCTTGCTGGGAGCCCATCCAGAATGTCCTTCCAATAAACCTCTACCCTATGACGCAACTGGAGTGAGTCACTTTCTTGCAACTGAAACAGCTGGGCTGGAGCACAGAGGACTCACATGTTAGTGGGGTTTATTCTCAGACACTGTCTGTAAGATGGAGCCGGGGGTGCAAGTTTCATGGCATTTATCACAAATTACCTTGTGCTGAAGTGATTTGTGTCCCTTTCTGTTCCTCGAGGCTCCGTGTGCTCGCATCTGCCACCCACAATGGCCAGCACCGTGCATGGCATGCAGTAGGTGGGCACGAACTCAGCACTTGTCTTGTCTACATTGCTGACAATGGGGAGGGCGGAGGACATGGACTAAATCCAGAGGTGGGACAGGGAGAGAGCAAGCCAAGTGCAGCCAGATGTTTGGGGGCTGTCTGGGGAGGAGAGGGTGAGGGGAGGACCATAAGCAGCCACTGAAGGGTGCTAATGGGGGAATCCAGGAACTTGGGAGTCTTCATCTGCTTCCATGTACTTCCAAGGGGACATATGTCCATCTTGGATTGGAGGGTCCTCAGAGGGGCTAGTTGTGTTCACTTCCAGTGGCCTGAGGCCTCCCAAGACTTTTTGTACTTTTAATTGAAGTGTAACATACAGAAAAGTTTACACATTATAAATGCAACTCAAGGACTCTGTCTCAAAATAAAATAAATAAAAATAAATGCATTTTGTTGTGTGTAAATTATACTTTAATAAAGTTGATTTGAAAATCCAAAGTAGTAGTAATTAGTAATAATCTCATAAGAACAGGCTTGCCAGGTGTGGTGGCTCACTTCTGTAATTCCATTGATTTGAGAAGCTGAGGCAGAAGGATCACTTGAGACAAGGAGGTCTTTTTTATTTTTATTTTTTGCGATGGAGTCTTACTCTGTGGCTCAGACTGGAGTGCAGTGGCGTGATCTCTGCTTACTGCAACCTCTGCCTCCCAGGTTCAAGCCATTCTCTTCCCTCAGCCTCCTCAATAGCTGGAACTACAGGCACGCACCATCATGCCTGGCTAATTTTTGTAGTTTTACAAAATCACCTCCTTTATAAAATTGCCTTAGGAGGCTGAGGCAGGAGAATCGCTTGACCCGGGAGGTGGAGGTTGCAGTGAGCCGAGATTGTGCCATTGCACTCCAGCCGAGATTGTGCCATTGCACTCCAGCCTCGGTGACAAGAGTGAAACTTTGTTTCAAAAAAAAAAGGGGGGGAGGGCTTAAAAGTTAACATCTCTTGCCATCCAAATTTGCACCAAGTAAGACTATACTTCAGGGATCATTTCTATAATTTGTTACTAGAGAAGTTTCTCTGAACGTGTAGAGCACTGAACTCTCAATAAACTAGGCATTGATGGATCGTATCTCAAAACAATAAGAGCTGTTTATGACAAACCCACAGCCAACATCATACTGAATGGGCAAAAACTGGAAGCATTTCCTTTGAAAACTGACACAAGACAAGGATGCCCTCTCTACCACTCCTATTCAACAAAGTATTGGAAGTTCTGGCCAGGGCCATCAGGCAAGAGAAAGAAATAAAGGGTATTCGAATAGGAAGAGACGACATCAAATTGTCCCTGTGTGTAGATGACACGACTGTATATTTGGAACACCCCATTGTCTCCGCCCAAAATCTTCTTAAGCTGATAAGCAACTTCAGCAAAGTCTCAGGATACAAAATCAATGTGCAAAAATTGCAAGCATTCCTATACACCAACAGACAAACAGAGAGCCAAATCATGAGTGAATTCCCATTCACAATTGCTACAAAGAGAATAAAATACCTAGGAATACAACTAACAAAGAACGTAAAGGACCCTTTCAAGGAGAACTACAAACCACTGCTCAAGGAAATAAGAGAGGACACAAATAGATGGAAAAACATTCCATGCTCATGGTTAGGAAGAATCAATATCGTGAAAATGGCCATACTGCCCTAAGTAATTTATAGATTCAATGCTCTCCCCATCAAGCTACCAATGACTTTCTTCACAGAATTGGAAAAAAGACACCTTAAACCAAAAAACAGCCCGCATAGCCAAGACAATCCTAAGGGAGAAAAAAAAAAAAAAAAAACAAGCCGGGGTATCACGCCACCTGACTTCAAACTATTACAAGGCGACTGTACTCAAAACAGCACGGTACTGGTTCCAAAACAGAGACATAGACCAATGGAACAGCACAGGGGCCTCAGAAAGAACACCACGCAATTACAACCATCTGACCTTTGACAAATCAGACAAAAACAAGCAATGGGGAAAGGATTCCCTATTTAATAAGTGGTGTTGGGAAAGCTGGCTAGCCACATGCAGAAAGCAGAAACTGGATCCCTTCCTTACACCTTATACAAAAATTAACTCTAGATGGATTAAAGATTTAAACATGAGGCCTAACACCATAAAAACTCTAGAAGAAAACCTAGGCAATATCATTCAGGACATAGGCATGGGCAAAGACTTCATGACTAAAACACCAAAAGCAACAGCAACAAAAGCCAAAATTGACAAATGGGATCTAATTAAACTTAAGAGTTTCCACACAGCAAAAGAAACTATCAGTAGAGTGAACCAGCAACCAACAGAATGGGAAAAAAGTTTTGCAATCTACCCACCTGACAAAGGGCTACTATCCAGAATCTACAGAGAACTTAAAACAAATTTACAGGAAAAAAAAAACAACCCCATCACAAAGTGGGCAAAGAATATTAACAGACACTTTTCAAAGAAGACATTCATGCAGCTAACAAACATATGAAAAAAAGCTCACCATCACTGGTCATTACAGAAATGCAAATCAAACCCACATTGAGATACCACCTCACACCAGTTAGAATGGAGATCATTTAAAAATCAGGAGATAACAGATGCTGGAGAGGATGTGGAGAACTAGGAACACTTTTACACTGTTGGTGGGAGTGTAAATTAGTTCAACCACTGTAGAAGACAGTGTGGCGATTTCTCAAGGATCTAGAAATAAAAATACCATTTGACCCAGCAATCCCATTACTGGGTATATATCCATAGGATTATAAATCATTCTATCATAAAGACACATGCACACATATGTTCACTGCAGCACTGTTCACAATAGCAAAGACTTGTGACCAACCCAAATGCCCATCAATGATAGACTGGATAAAGAAAATGTGGCACATATACACCATGGAATACTATGCAGCCGTAAAAAACGATGAGTTCATGTCCTTTGCAGGGACATGGATAAAACTGGAAACCATCATTCTCAGCAAACTGACACAAGAACAGAAAACCAAACACTGCATGTTCTCACTCATAAGTGGGTGTTGAACAATGAGAACACACAACAGAGCGGGGAACCTCGTGCACCAGGGCCTGGAGGGTTGGGGGCTGGGGAGGAGTAACAGGGGATGGGGGGATTGGGGAGGGATAGCATTAGGAGAAATACCTCATGTAGGTGACAGGGCGATGGATGCAGCAAGCCACCACCATGGCACGTGTATAGCTATGCAACAAACCTGCACGATCTGCACACGTACCCCAGAACTTAAAGTATAATAAAAACCAAAAAACAAATTTGCACCGAGTAGGAAAACAAACCTTTAAAACATGAAACAGTTATAACTGAGGCCAAAAGGGTCTCCCAGGTCTGGCAGTCTATAGCTTTATACAATTTTGCCCTCTGGCCATCGCCAGGGACAAAGGGTTGTCTCTGTCAGCTGCATCCCCTTTGCCCAGCAATGAAGCCCTCAAGACCTCCGTCTTCACTGGCTGCCTCCTCTTCGCGGGCCTGGGGCCAGCGGCTGGCGGCCGCAGTGGCTCAGAGACAGCAACCCTAACAGCAGCAGCCGGTGGTGGCCTGGACCTTCCTACCCCTAGGGGCACCCAGCGCAGGTGGATGACCCGACTCAACCTCCGCCAGGTTCTCAGGGAGCCTCTGGGCAGGACGAGGTTGGCCCCAGGAGACCACGGAAGAGCGCGCTCCCCGCGCAGACTTCAGCAGCAACAGGCGGCCTTTGCCCTCCGCCCCACCCCGCACGCCGCGGTCCTCAAGGAACCTTCCCAGCGGCTCCGCTCCGTCTCCACTCTGCATCCAGGAGTAGAGGCCCTCTGAGACCGACGGGCCGGACGCCTGGCGCGGGTCACCCGAGGGGCCGCACGGATTCCCCTCTCCGCCCAGCTCCACTCCTCGACGGGAGGCGGCCGGGGAGAGACGTCCCGGCTCCCCCAGGGCGCACTCCGTCGGGGCCCTAGGTCAGGCTACGCGCAGGGTTGGCGGGGAGGGGCGGTAGGGAGCGGGGGCGGGAGGCCGCGGTCCCGGGCTGCAAGGGGCGTGGGTCGGCCGCGATCCAGCCCGGGCGGAGCCGGCAGCTGCAAGTTGCAGCCTCGAGGTCGAGACGCTCACAGCTCTGGGCTGGAGGCTCCGGAGAGCTCGGGGGTTCCCGATGCTGCTGCTGCTGCTGCTGCTGCTGCTTTGGCCAGTGCGGGGCACCGGGGTGCTTCCAGGTGAGGACGCGGGCGGGGTGCGCCCTGCGGGGCAAGAGAGGCAAGCTGGTGAGGGCGGTGGTGGGGGCGGGGGTGGGCTCTGCTCAGAGCTGGGGTCAGCGCCTGGAGGGTCTCACAGCCTCGGGACCTTATGAACAGGAGGTCAGGGCGTGGGGATGGTTTAGGGGGTAGTCTCTGTGGCACCTACCCAGGGACGCTCAAGTGTGCTTGGGGTGGTCTGGGGCCCGGACTTGCCCACACTGCCCGGCTGCCACTCTGCCGGCAAAGCGGAGGGCATGGCCCCTTCCCCCTGGGGGCAGCCCAGCTTCCGGCCGGCAGCCCCCTCTGCCTGGATTATCGCTCCCACAACCTCCCAGCCCCCACCTTGTGACCCGCTCCTGCACCTCCACCCCTTAGGACTCAGCGGGGCTCCATCCTCCAGGAAGCCCCCATGCCCAAGAGTCCCCCAGAGTCCCTGCTTTGCTCTCAGGCTGCAGAACTAGCTGTGGCCTGCGCCCTGCTCCCCCCCCCCGTCCCTCCTCGCAGGGCAGCGCGTGTGTTGTTTATAGTGTTGCCTTGTTTGGTGAGCTAGAGAAGGGCCTCTGCAGACCGGAGGTCCCTGTTTAGCCTTCCCTGGGAGGACGGCAGCACTGTCTCCTCGGCGCAACCCCTCCAAACAGAGACGTTAAGATGGGGCTGGTAGCAGCCTCTGCAAACAGGTGGGAGGATTAGCCAGTCCTGCACAGCAAGCGCCTGGCCAGGAACAGGGAGGGCAACCGTGGAGGAGGCGCGCAGGGCAGGGCCAGGCGGTGCAGCCTGGGTGGTGGCTTCCACAGCGCTGTGCGCAGACCAAACGAATACAGGGGCCCGCTCTATTCTGGCCCCAGGAGAAGGTCCTAGGCGGTCCACTCCTCCCTCCCCTCTGAGCCCTAGCCTGGGGCCAGGGGAGGCCAGGGGATCCCTGGGAGAGGGGGGCTCTATGTGCCCAATACCAACCTGGCTCTCTCGGCCTCCACTCCCATCCACCTTGTCACCGGATCTCCAGCTCTGCCTCCCTCTCCCTCATCCGGGTCAGGTGCCCGTGGCCACCATGTGTCTGCAAGGCTATGGGGAGAGCACCCGCACCACACCTGTGTGTCGGCCCACCCTACCTCCTTCCCAAACCCTTAGAGGCCTAGGACCAGCAAAGCTTGGTTCTCTACTCTCAGTCAAGTGCTCTCTCGGCTGAGGGACCTCTCCTCCTTCCCCTCCCCAAGATCCACTCAGACTCCTTCCTGCATTGGCCCCCCTCAGCCTCCTTTCCAAGGTGGTGGGCTCCTCTCTGCCACCATCTGCCTGATGGTAACTCACTCATCCAATCAAAGAGGGCTTCTTGGAGGAAGGGTATTTGATGCTTGGAGTCTGGGAGAGAAGATGGAGGAGAAAAAAGGAGTTGGGTTGGCCTAGCAGGAACTGAGTCACTTCCACAGGCAGCCATCAGCCCGGCAGGACTGAGGCCAGGGCTGCGTGGGGGTGCGGGCTGTCTGTGCCGGGAGCTGGGACTGGGTACCGGGGGAAGGCGGGCCGCTGCAGGCTCTGGGTGCCTGGGGCCTGGCTCCTGCAGGGCGGTCCTGTGAGAGTGGTTGGGGCTAGTGGGGGGCTGGGAGCATTCCAGGGGAGCATTCCAGGCGCCTTCTGAGTAATGTTTGGCTCTGGGATTCCTCCTAGACCCCCCTTAGCACACCCGGCCTGGGAGCAGTGAGGCTGTGTCTGGAAGCCTCCCCTCGCCTTGAAGAGATGAGGAGGGGCCTTCTGGGCCAGAGTACCAAACCCCTGCCACCAGGACGGAGTCCCCGAGGGAGCTCTGGGCAAGGTGGACCTCCCAAGGCAACATCTGGCTGTTTTTCTCGGATGGTGGGAGACACAGGCATCCTCCCTTCATAGAGCTCTCACCCTAACAGCATCTGCTGCCCATCTAAAAATACCCACGGCTGCCTCCCTCTTCCCTTCGCCTCTGCACTGGTAGCCTTGGCCTCTTCCTTGTGATCCACAACTCCAAGCCTGCCCCTCCCAACAGTCAGGGGACTCCCATGTCCCCAGCTGAGCTGTCCCTTCCCCAGCCTTCTCTTTTCCTCCTTCTTGGTAGGTCCTCAGATCCAAGGATGCCCATCGGTGTCCCTCCTTCTCCAGACCGAGCCCATGAGTGTTGAAGATGGAGTCTGCTCTGAAAGGCCTCCCGTGCCTCCCTGGGTGTGTCCTCTAACCCCCTTCCTCTGCTGTGTCCTGTTGGGTCCCCTCACCTGTGCTCTGTCTTCACTCTAGGACCTACCCCTGGGCAGCCAGCCACCGCCCGCTGGGTCCTGGATGGACAACCCTGGCACAGCGCCAGCCTGGAGGAGCCGGTCAGTGCTATGTCACCCCATCCTCTGCAGGGGCCCTGAGCCTCCCAGCCCTTTTATCCCTCCCCACATTACAGCTTGGCAGTTTTGCTGGGGTTCCCAGAACCACCGTGTCACTACTCCTTTAGGCCCCTACCCCCTAAAGGAGTGGGCAGAAGAGGGCATCAGGGTTTGGTATCTAGATCTCGTGAGCCCGCACACATGGAAGTCATTTCAGCTTCTTCGGCCCCACCTCCCCTTCCCCGCCCTCCCTGGATGATCCGGCTCACCCCACCCTCGCCAGGCAGAAATGGGTCCAGGGTTTGTGGGGCCTGAAGGTTTTCAGGAGCCAAAAAAAAAAAAAGAAAAAAAAAAACACCAAAAAGAAAACCTTTTGCAAAGTTGACCAGAACATATGACCCTGTGGACACACTGCTGTCTCTCTCAGGGCCCTGCCACTGAAGGCCTGAACCTCCAGCCTCACTGGCTCCTGTGGAATCCACTTCTGGCAGGGGACAGTGGTCACTCTTCTGGTCCCCCCAGATGTAAGACCACCCCATGTGCTTCTGCAGGACACTCTGCCCCAGCCTCCTCCCGATCCCACCCTTCGCACGCTTCCAGAATAATCACGCCCCATGCTTGTGCCATACTAGCTGTGCCGCAAACGAGGAGGCCGGTAGCCTCGATGCGCCTGTTTTACAGAGGGGCAAACGGAAGCCGAGAGGTTAGGGAAACTGCCCGTGGTCACAGCTCTTTAGGCTGGAGCCTGAGACGCACTGAGCTCTGAAAGATCTTAAACCATTTTTGGAGTTTCCAGCCTTACTGTCCAAACCCAGCAAGAGGAAGAGGGAAGGCAGGGGAGCATCGCCACAAAGGCTAGGAGGCCCCAAGAAACCCAGCAGCTCCCACCCTAGGGCCCTCACTGGGATCCCCTAGGCCCACATGCCCCCATTCCACTGGCCAAGCAAGGCACTGGCCTGAGCTTTGAGACTGTCCTCACCACTCCCGGGAGGGGAGGGCTGGGCACACTGGGTCATTCTGCCTCTGGGCCTCCTTCCCTGTCTGGCCTGGGCTGTGACCAAGAGGGGAACCCCAAAGGGGCCCTGCCTTCCCCCAACTGTGGGCCCTTTCCCCCAGGAAGCCTGCCAAGATGGGACAGGAGACAGAGTTGAGGCTGGGTATCTCCTCCCACAGCCAGAAAGTACTCACACTTCAAGATGGGGGGGTATATATCGAGGGGCAGGGTACCCGGAGGGCAAGGGTAAAGACAGCAGAGGCTGCCGAGGGATGGGACCTCGAGTATGTCCTTCCATGTGGGCCACCGCCCTTCTCCCAGTGCACATCTTTCCCCAGCAAAGCAAGAGGCATTCCAGCCACATGAGCTCATGTTGGAGGCCTTGTGGGGCCTGTGGCCAGGGGGGCAAGGGCAGTCTGCTCCCCACCTGCAAAGGAAGAACTCCCCCCAAAGACTCGGAGACCCTGGGCCCCAGCCCAGTGCATTTTTTGAGAAAAGGAGTCAGGGGTCAAACATTCCAAAGCACAGCAGCCTCCAAGGAAGCTCCTGGACCCCCAGCCAGGCTGAGTGGACAAGGGGGAAGTGGGGTGTTCCCACAGGGTGGGAGAGGCCAAGAGGGTGTGGGAAGGAGACAGAGTTGGCAGACCAAGCCAGGCTCCTGACACCTAGCTGAGAGTTGATGTGCTCTTTGGCTGGAATGGGGTTCATATTTACTTCATGGGTCCAGTGAAGCAGGTTTTGGGGCAGGAGGGACAGGGGCTGCTGGAGGCCCAGGAAAACTTTGGAAGAAGGGCAGTTTGCCAACATTGGAAGTGGAGGGGTAAAGTTTGAATTCTATAGGGAATGAGCGGCAGCATGATCTGGAAGCAAGCCTCAGGTGGCGGAGACTGTGAGGAGGCCCTGCCACGCTGCCCGATGCCCCCACAATGTCCTTAGCACCCCTCTGTCTTCCCCTGCTTTTGATGCCGCTTCTGAGTATGAAAGAAGAGGGTGGGCCAGGGGAAGGGCACCTTTCTGGGGCCTCTGATCTCTAGGGAGGATGTCGGTGCGCCTGGCAGGCTGTGCTCTCGCCCTTCCAAGGGGCTGTGTCAGGACAGAAAACATCCTGAGCGTGGGAACATCTTTGTATGTTCTCACCTCCTCCCCGCCCTCCATAGTATGTAGGGGGTCCTACTCCCCCGACAGCCCACATTCTCCCCATGAACTTCCTCCCCAGCCAGTTCCACAGGCCACCTGCTCCCTGGCAGGCAGGAGGCCTGGAGGCCACCATCTCAGCCCTGCGCTCCTCCTTGCCCAGGTCTGGAGGCCAGATGTGGGACTGGTGGCCCTGGAGACTGAAGGCCAGGAGCTCCTGCTTGAGCTGGAGAAGAACCAGTGAGTGCCAGGCTGGGGCAGGGCTGGGAGCTGAGAACAGACCCACTGGAGGGGATCAGTGCAGGGAGCGGGGACTGATGTGGATCTGTGCGGGTGGCTGGATGGGCACCCTCAGAGAGGGTGCAGGTGACAGGGAGAGTCACGCAGGCCTGTGGCTGGCCCCCTGAAGGCTGAAGAGGACTGTGGAGGCTGTCAGCCTCTCTGTGGGGCACATCGGTCCTGTCAGCCCCAGGAGTGGCTTGTCAGCTCCCTGCCGGAGATGAGTGAGCACCACCTAGTGGACATTTGCAAGATATGCTGAATCAAAAGAAAATCGTAGATGGATCTCAAAGAATGGGCCCTCCAGGCCAAGGGAACAGCAGGGACAAAGATGCAGTGGCTTTAGGAGGGCGAGGTGGGTGGACCACCTGAGGTCAGGTGTTTGAGACAATCCTGGTCAACATGGTGAAAACCCATCTCTACTAAAAATACAAAAAATTAGCCCGGCATGGTGACGCGCACCTGTAATCCCAGCTACTCAGGGGGCTGAGACAGGAGAATCACTTGAATCCGGGAGGCGGAGGCTGTGGTGAATGGAGATCCCACCATGCACCACTCCGGCCTGGACAACAGAGTGAGACTCCGTGTCAAAAAAAAAAAAAAAAAGCTGCAGTGGCTACACTCGGGGGCAGCAGTTTGTCTGACCTGCCTGGAAGGTCTCCACCTGCAGGGAGGGGAGCAGGGGGAATGAATTTGGGAAGGACAGATCACAGAAGGCCATTTTAGTGCTCTGTGTCCAGAGCCAAAGATTTTGAGGAACAGTCAGGGCTGTGCTCAGGGTGGCACCTCGGCTGGGTGGAGCGGGTGTCCGAGATGGAGCACGGGCTCTTGAAACCATCCAGACTGTGTTACCAATAGATATCACCTACTGAGTGTTTGTTTGACCTCAGGCGCTATTCTGAGCACTCAACATGTGTTTTAGTCTCCCTTGTGGAGTCGGACGGACTGGGAACAAACTCTAGTTCCACTGTGCCCAACCATATTTTCCCTGGGGCCAACGTCCCTACCGTTTCAATGGGGTAGTCACATCACCTACCTCCTAGCGTGGCAGGGGTGGGGAGCAGAGCTGGGGCAGGTGGGAGAATTCCGGGAAGGTGGAAGCAGCCGTCATTTGGGGGTGGTCTGGAGGTAATGAGGCCAAGGTGAGTTTGGGGTAAAGGATTTTCTTTAAAGAAGAGAGACTGACTTATGATTGATCCATCCATGTAGGAAGGATCCTGATGAGATGAAGCCTAAAAATGGAATCATTACCCAAGTGGGGTCTGGAGAATTCGGGGAGGGCAGGAGCAGGCGTGGGCAGTTGGAGATTCTGTTTTTTCTGGAGGCAGGGGGTGTGCATCAATCACTGAAGGACAGGCGGGAGGCTTGTGGGGTATAGAAGTCTGAGGAAAATATTTTAAGGATCTAGGGCAAGTTGGGGCGAGAGGGTTGACAAAGGAGGGCAGCAGGCAGGGGAACCTGGGGAGTTCGCCGTGTTTCCCTGACTCCAACTCCAAGTCCCATTCCTTGGCAGTGTCTCCTGACTCCTCCCCTCCCGACCTGTGGATCCAGCTGCCTGCTGCAGGTCCCCTGGGGACCACAAACTCTTCCGCTCTTCCCGGTGTCCTCCCTGGCACTTCCCATACTCGCAGCTCCCACAGCTAAGCCATCACCAAGGCTCCTTCCTCTAGCCCCAAGTGTTCCTGACCTGAGCAAGCCACCATTGCTCCTGTCCCTTCCCTAAGATACACTGAGTGCCTCACTCATAAAGCTGCTCCATTAGCATTTAGGGAGGAAGGCTGGGAGACATCCTGGAGGAGGCAGAAGGAGGCCGAATTCAATGCTCCCTGTAATACCCCTTCCCAGCAGGCTGCTGGCCCCAGGATACACAGAAACCCACTATCGCCCAGATGGTCAGCCAGTGGTGCTGGCCCCCAACCACACGGTGAGATGCTTCCATGGGCTCTGGGATGCACCCCAGAGGCACCCCCCACCATTCCTGCCCTGCTCCTCCTTGCACTCCTAAGGGGAGGTTGGAGCCAGCCCCGACCCTGCCCTCCCTCTTGCCCTCTTGCTCAAGCCCTGGCTGAGATTTGGGGCTGGTCCCTTTCTCCCTAGGATCATTGCCACTACCAAGGGCGAGTGAGGGGCTTCCCCGACTCCTGGGTAGTCCTCTGCACATGCTCTGGGATGAGGTGAGTTCCGGAGAGGGGACTGGGCCTGAGATGAGGAAAGACCTCCCTCACACCCGCTCCTACCCCTCTGCACCCTAGGGGCCTGATCACCCTCAGCAGCAATGCCAGCTATTACCTGCATCCCTGGCCACCTCAGAGCTCCAAGGACTTCTCAACCCACAGGATCTTCCGGATGGAGCAGCTGCTCACCTGGAAAGGAACCTGTGGCCACAGGGATCCCGGGGACAAAGCGGGCATGGCCGGCCTTCCTGGTGCTCCCCAGAGAAGGGTCAGGGTGTGGAGGAGATGGGAGTGGGAATTTGATTTGGGGGGCTGTGGATACAGCCATAGCCCTCCAGATCGGAAGAGACAGGAATTCACAGGCCTCAAGCCAGGGCCTCATGTCCCAGTTTTTTGTTTTTTGGTTTTTTTGAGACAGAGTTTTACTTTTGTTGCCCAGGCTGGAGTGCAATGGCCAGATCTCAGCTCACCATAGCCTCTGCCTGCCCGGTTCAAGCGATTCTCCTGCCAGAGTAGCTGGGATTACAGGCATGCACCACCATGCCTGGCTAATTTTTTGTATTTTTAATAGAAGGGCTTCTTCATGTTGGTCACTCTGGTCTTGAACTCCCAACCTCAGGTGATCTGACCGCCTCAGCCTCCCAAAGTACTGAGGTTACAGGTGTGAGCCTCCGCGCCCAGCATGTCCCAGTATTTTTATTGGAGCCTGAGGAAACATCTTCTAGGACACATGATAAACTGTTCTTTCTGGGAGCTGGGGTTGGTGGTCAGGGCTCGAGCCCAGCAGCTTCCATTCAGAGTCCCCATTCGCCCCTCCGCAGGACAGGCGAGAAGCACGCAGGACCCCGAGGTACCTGGAACTGTACATAGTGGCAGACCACACCTTGGTGAGGGGAGACCCCAGGGGTTGACGGAGTCTGGGATGGGGTCAGCTCAGCCCCTCAAGCCACCAGGATTTCTGCCTTCCCAGTTCGTGACCCAGCACCGGAACCTGAACCACACCAAACAGCGTCTCCTAGAAGTCGCCAACTACGTGGACCAGGTTGGGGGCAGCAGGGAGAGAGCAGTGATGGGGATGGCGGCGGCAGGACCGGCAGGTGCTAGTGGGGTGCGGGGAGGAGGAGGGGCGCCCCCACGTAGGAGCAGCCGCGGGGTGGGGCGCCTGGTCCCGGCTTCAGCCCGCCCTACCCTGCCCCTCCCTCAGCTTCTCAGGACTCTGGACATTCAGGTGGTGCTGACTGGCCTGGAAGTGTGGACCGAGCGGGACCGTAGCCGCGTCACGCAGGACGCTAACGCCACGCTCTGGGCCTTTCTGCAGTGGCGCCGGGGCCTGTGGGCGCAGCGGCCCCACGACTCCGCACAGCTGCTCACGTGGGTGCCTCTGAGCCCAACGCGGGTCCCGGGAGGGGAGCCCTCGCCTCCTGGCCCCGCCCGGTCACGCTTCGCTCTATCCCCAGGGGCCGCGCCTTCCAGGGCTCCACAGTGGGCCTGGCGCCAGTCGAGGGCATGTGCCGCGCAGAGAGCTCGGGAGGCGTGAGCATGGTGAGCCCCGCAGAGGGGGGCGAGGGGAGGGAAGGGAGGCCCAGAGGCCCGCACTGATCGCCACAGTGCACCGACCCCTAGGACCACTCGGAGCTCCCCATTGGCACCGCAGCCACCATGGCCCATGAGATCGGCCACAGCCTCGGCCTCAGCCACGACCCCGACGGCTGCTGCGTGGAGGCCGCGGCCGAGCCCGGAGGCTGCGTCATGGCCGCGGCCACCGGGTACGTGTGTGGGGGGTCGGGGCTGCGGCGAGGCGGCTAGTCCTGGGGGCTCCCTCCGCCGCGTTTCTTTGGTCGTCCCTCAGTTTCCTCTTCTGTAAAATGGGAAGATGATCATAGCGTCCACTTCAGGGTGATTCATGAGGTTTAAAGGGAAGAAGCGCAAAGTGGATTCTCAACGGTATGAAGACTGTTTTCGGAGTAGCCTGGCGAGGTTACTTCCACACCGGGAGGAGCACCGCCGGGTCGCGATTCCACCTTGGGTCCCGGGCTGCCCACTCTTGGGGCCACACTGTCCCCCGTCCCGCTCGCTGTGTGACTTTTCGGGGGTCACTTCCCCTCTCTGGCCTCTGCCTCTAGAGGATTTGAGCCTCCCATCGCTCAGGCGTGTCTGCGCATCTGGCGCCTGTAGCCAAACCCAGGGGTGGGGATCGGAGAAGCGCGGGGGTTGTGGGGCTGTCCCTCCAAGCCCAACGCCCTCCCCACCCCGGTAGGCACCCGTTCCCACGCGTGTTCAGCGCCTGCAGCCGCCGCCAGCTGCGAGCCTTCTTCCGCAAGGGGGGCGGCGCGTGCCTCTCCAATGCCCCGGACTCCGGGCTCCCAGTGCCACCAGCGCGCTGCGGGAACGGTTTCGTGGAGGCGGGCGAGGAGTGTGACTGCGGCTCTGGCCAGGTTAAGTCGGCTCGCCCGCCCCTCACTCGGCTTCTCTGCCCAGGTCTGGGGCGCTGCGCCCTCACTTGGTCCCCCCTTGCTTTTCTGGCCCCAGGAATGTCGCGACCTCTGCTGCTTCGCTCACAACTGCTCGCTGCGCTCGGGGGCCCAATGTGCCCACGGGGACTGCTGCGCCCACTGCCTGGTGAGGGCATGGAAGGTTCAGGGTGAGGGTTTTGGGGCGCTTAGGAGCCGGCCTGTTGGCCTTAGCTAATTGGTGCCCTCAGGTTCCCCTGCTGGGTGCTGGCGTGGGTCGGCCTGGCCCTCTGGCACAGCTCCTCCAGCTCCAAGCAGACTCTGGGCGCGGACCTCTCATTGCCCATGGCCTCTGTCTGCCCTCCCCACCACCCGTCACCTGTGCAGCTGAAGCCGGCTGGAGCACTGTGCCGCCAAGCCATGGGCGACTGTGACCTCCCTGAGTTCTGCATGGGTACCTCCCCGGACTGTCCCCCGGACATTTACCTACTGGACGGCTCGCCCTGCGCCAGGAGCAGTGGCTACTGCTGGGATGGCACATGTCCCACGCTGCAGCAGCAGTGCCAGCAGCTCTGGGGGCCTGGTGAGAGGACACTGGCACCCTTACACCCTGCCCCCCATTCTCTGGTCAGCCCAGTTTTCTGCTGTGGGGAAGATAGGCAGGGGAAACTGAGGCCCGATGAGTGTGGCACCTATCCCGGCTGCATCCAGCCTAGCCCATGCTTCCTCAGGCTCCCATCCAGCCCCCGAGGCCTGTTTCCAGGTTGTGAACTCTGTGGGAGATACCCATGGGAACTGCGGCCAGGACAGCGAGGGCCACTTCCTGCCCTGTACTGAGAGGTAGGGAGTGGAGCTGAGTGGAGGGAGCAGAACCTATGGAGTGAGCTTGGGAAAGGACATACTGCCGCTGTTGACCCCCCTCTGCTTCCTCCCCAGGGATGCTCTGTGTGGGAAGCTGCAGTGCCAGGGTGGAAAGCCCAGCCCACTCGCACCACACATGGTGCCAGTGAACTCCACCGTTCACCTAGATGGCCATGAAGTGACCTGTCGGGGAGCCTTGGCACTCCCTGGTGCAAAGTTGGACCTGCTTGGCCTGGGCCTGGTAGAGTCAGGCACCCAGTGTGGACCTAGAATGGTGAGCTTTGCCCACCTGACCCCTCCTTGCCACTTGACTCCCACAGGCAGTGTCCCCCTCACTGCCTGATGCACTGCCCATAGGTGTGCCAGAGCGGGCGCTGTGAGAACACTGCCTTCCAGGAGCTGCAGCGCTGCCTGACTGCCTGCCACAGACACGGGGTGAGAGCCCAAGGGGCGGGGGTGACCTTGGGGTTCCTAATCTCATGTGACCCTCTTTCCCTTCTCTCCCCTTTCTGCAGGTATGCAATAGCAACCATAACTGCCACTGTGCTCCAGGCTGGGCTCCACCCTTCTGTGACAAGCCAGGCTTCGGTGGCAGCGTGGACAGTGGCCCTGTGCAGCCTGAAAGTATGCCAGTTGGGGGCAGGTGGGCAGGAGCAGGAGGGCTGCCCCAACTCAGGACTCAGCCTCCCCACTACTCTGTCCCTGCAGGCCGTGACACCTTCCTGTTGGCCATGCTCCTCAGCGCCCTGCTGCCTCTGCTCCCAGGGGCCGGCCTGGCCTGGTGTTACTACCGACTCCCAAGAGCCCATCTGCAGCGATGCAGCTGGGGCCGCAGGAGGGACCCTGCGTGCAGTGGGTAGGCTCCAAATGCCTGCTTCCTGAGCCCACTCCGGGTTTCCCCTCCTCAGAGCTCTGCTGGGGCTGCAGGAGCTGGGGCAGCCCTCAGCCTTACCCACAGGTGCAGAGAGCAGCCCCAGAGGCTGTGGAAAGAAGTAGCTTTGAACAGGAGGTTCCAGTGGCCTCCCAGGCAAGCCAGGGGGTGGATCCCAGCACCCGATCAGCACTGCCAGGCGTGGCCCCCTACCTCCCATTACAGCCTTTCTCGTCCTCTGTCCTGCTTCTCCCACCAGGCGGCTGCCTCACCCTTGACTTCGCCCTTATTTCCCCGCTCAGATTGCAGCCCCTGCACCATGCTGCCCCTAGAGGCCTCTCCAGCCTCTGTCTCAGGAGTTTTCAGCCCTTTGCCACTTCCTCTGTCCAAATCACCTCTGTCAACCCCTTCAAGTTCCCAAATGCTGGGCCCAGCAGATTTTTTCACTCCATACCACTGGCCAGCTATGGCGCTGGATGTCCTCTATGCCAGGGCCCTGCCCTAACCCGGTTCTCTGTGACCTGCGGGGGGAGAGTCACATAATACTAAGCATGGCTGTCCAGGCACTCTGTGGCCATGTCTATCATAGCCAGGTCTTGGGAGGGCTCTGGGTAAGCCAAGGGAGATGGCAGTGTTTGGGTCGAAGATAGGGGCAGAGGGCATAACAGACAGGGGCAGGGTACCACCTGGGCCCCGGGTGGCAGCTAAGAAGACTCTGACACCGTGAGTAGTGATGGAGGGTCTGTGGGCAGAGGAGGAGGTGGCCAGAGCCTGGCATGTCAGCATGGAGGGGACACTGCAGAGGGTGGAGGCTGCTTCTCATCCCCAGGCGGGAGTTTTAGGGTAGGAGAGAATGCTTTGAAGGAACATCACAGGAAGTGGCAAGGCCCTGGGAGATGGGAGGGGGACAGTCAAAGATGGCTTGTAATCATCAAGGGCAGCAGGGTACCCAGCGGCAAGGTGAGCAGACACAGCTGCTGCAGTGGGGGACATCCAGGTTTCTTTGGAAGCTGAGTGATGCCAACATCTGGAAAGTGCCAGGCTGCTGGGTGGTGCCGGAGCCTGGAAGAAATGTTAGGACTGGAGAGAGGGGGTGCCAGCCGTCCTGCGAGGCATGAGGCACAAGTGGAGCCTGGGTCCCAGGGATCCCCTGAAGAGAGAGCTGGAAGGGAGCTGAGAGGGTGACTTGGAGCAGATGGGTGCTCCAAGAAACTCAGTAAATGCAGAACTCCCCAGGCTGGATGCCATGCTGCGGGAGGCAATAACCCACTCAGGGTCAATGTGCCAACTTCCTGGACTCTTATCCCACTGCTCAGGCCTAAGGATGGCCCACACAGGGACCACCCCCTGGGCAGCATTCACCCCATGGAGTTGGGCCCCACAGCCACTGGACAGCCCTGGCCCCTAGGTGAGTGAGGCACTAGGGAGAGGCAGAGAGAGAAGGGGAGGGAAGGGAGGGCAGGGGAGGGGAGGAGAAGGGAAGGGCTCAGTGCCTCCTGCCTCCTTCCAGATGGGCAGCACCCAGTCACCTGGAGTCCCCTGTTGCCCCACCCCAGCCCCCGGGACTCCTACTGACCATATTCACAGCACTCACCCTCCACCATTGCTCCCAGGCCCTGAGAACCCTCCTGAGCCCAGCAGCCACCCCGAGAAGCCTGTGGCCCACAGCTCCGCCTGACCCGAAGGTAAGCGGGGACGCGGATTCAAAGCCTTCCCCTCCCATCGCCCACTCTCCCACCTCTCCCATCCTTCAGCTCGATGCCCCCTAATCAGGTTTCTGGGCACGAGTTTATGACCTCTCGAAGAAGCTGTTATCATGGAGACCAGAATGCTGGAAGCCGCTGGGCTGGGGAGGGAGAAGCTGTGAAAAGCCTCATTGAGGACAGACTCCCTGCCACACAGCTTGCAGGCTGGAGCCCAGTCCTTAGGGGACAACATATCCTCCTCCTTCTCAGCAGATCAAGTCCAGATGCCAAGATCCTGCCTCTGGTGAGAGGTAGCTCCTGAAATAACAGATTTAAAGATAGCTGGCCACTGACAGCCACTCCAGGAACTTGAACTCCAGGGGCAAAGCCAGTGAATCACCGGACCTCCGGCACCTTCAGGAGCTTGGAATTTTCTTCCTCACTGGAGCTCCGACCCACCCACTCCAGGACCCCAGAGCCTCATTAGAAGCTGCCCAATGGAGACCCCTCTCCTGAGGGGTAGGGGACACTGTTGGACACACCCTCCAGCTCAATAATCCATCAGTCCCAGAGGCAAAGGTCACACAGCCCCTGACCTTCCTCACTAGTGGAGGCTGGGTACTGCTGGCCACCCGAAAAGGCCTCTGTCCCGTGAGGGTGGTGTGTCTCCTACATGCAATTTCCACAGACCCAGCTCTATGGAGGGCATGACTGCTGGCCAGAAGCTGGAACTCTGGGGCCCCTATGGTTCCACTGAGTCCACACTCCCCTGGAGCCTGGCCCCTGCAAACAAACCCAATTTTGGGGACCTTCCTTCCTGTTCCTTCCCACCCTATCTTCTCCCCTAGATGGTTCCTCAACCCCCACCCCCAATCCCAGTGCTGCACCTGAGGTTCTGGAGGAACCTGGAGTCTGACAGCCTCTCCCCCATTCTGTGTGTGGGAGGGGACAGAGGGAACCATTTAAGATACCAAAGTAGAAGTCAGAAGAAAGACATGTTGGCTAGGCGTGGTGGCTCATGCCTGTAATCCCAGCACTTTGGGAGGCAGGAGTAGGAGGATCACTAGAGGCCAGGAGGTCAACACCAGTCTAGACAACATAGCAAGACCCCATATCTACAAAAAAATTTAAAACTTAGCTGGGCATGGCAGTGTGTGCCTGTAGGCCTAGCTGCTCAGGAGGCTGAAGCAAGAGGATCACTTGAGCGCAAGAGTTCAACACTGCAGTGAGCTATGATGGCACCACTGCACTACGGCCTGGGTGACAGAGGAAAAAGAAATTTTAGGCCAGGCGAGGTGGCATACACCTGTAATCCCAGCACTTTGGGAGGCTGAGGAGGGCGGATCATGAGGTCAGGAGTTTGAGGTCATGATGACCAACAAACAGCCTGGCCAACATGATGAAACACCATTTCTACCGAAAATATAAAACATTAGCTGGGTGTGGTGGCATGCACCTGTAATCCCAGCTACTCGGAAGGTTGAGGCAGGAGAACTCCTTGAGCCCAGGAGGCGGAGGGTGCAGGGAGCCAAGATCGGGCCATTGCACTCCAGCCTGGGCAACAGAGCGAGACTGTCTCAAAAAAAAAAAAAAAGAAAGAAATTTAAAAAAGACATGTTGCACTTGGACCTCAGTTTTTTTTCCTGTATAAATTCAACCCTACCAAGTGCCCTGAGGACCACAAGGGGTGGTGGCTGGCAGGCTGAGCCCAGATGGCAGCCAGGGCCCCAGCTGTGTGTTTGGGCACAGGACGGTGCTGCCTACTTTGAACACCCTCTTTGCCCTGTCACTCCACCCTCCCTTGGGCATTCACATTCTCCCTTTGCTTCATGCAAGAGCTGCCAAGTGGCCTGTATCAGCCAGCTGATGCCACATACCAAAACCATCCCCAAACTGATTTCGAGGAGGCAGCCTCAGTGCAGGCTCCACTCCACAAGCCCAAGGGCCTGGGTGAGAGTGCTCTCTAAAGCTCCCCCTCCTGCCTTAGTTGTATCTGCAACATTTTAATTTATGAAGGTGACTGAATGATGACACAGAGGGGCCGATGCCACTGAAAGAGGTTATTACAGTTTCCCACCATGCGGGGCCACAGTGGGGCAGGAGGCACCAGGTTTGGTCCAGGGACAGAATCAGGAGCGAGGGGAAGGCAGAGGCACAGCCCTCATTGACATCTCCACTGGAAAGGCAAGGCAGGCCGGGGAAGGGGGTAGGACTGGCCTTTTGAATCATCCTGGTGGGCTCTAGGGTGTGGGGCTGGGCTCTAGCTGTCTGGGTCAGTACCTGGCCCTGGGCTGGTTTAGGGCAGGGGAAACACTGGCTTGGGACATGAGAGTTCCTTGAAGGGGGTGGTTGCTGTATGGAGTTCAGATTGGTTGGTTTGCATATGAAAGGCGTGAGTTGTTTCTGATCTCCAGGAATCAGCATTTTCTCCCCAGCCAACAAGCCCCCACCCTGAGATGTTAAACCATCATAAAACAGAGAATCTAAGGCCAGGCGGTGGGAGGATCAGCTGAGGTCAGGAGTTAGAGACCAGCCTGGCCAAAATGGTGAAACGCTGTCTCTACGAAAAATACAAAAATTAGCTGGGCATGGTGGTGGGCACCTGTAATCCCAGCTACTCAGGAGGGTGAGGCAGGAGAATTACTTGAGCCCAGGATGTGGAGGTTTCAGTGAGCTCAGATTTCGCCATTGCACTCCAGCCTGGGTGACAAGAGCAAGACTCTGTCTCAAAAAAAAAAAAAAAAAAGGAATCTAAAGAAACATTTAATATACCTCCCCGTCTCTTACCCTTCAGGAGGGGGTGTCTGGACCCTGCGGGACTCCAGCTACAAGGGACCCTAGGGGAGGCCAACTCTGCCCTATTGGCTATTCCCTAAGACTGCCCAGCACCTGCTCTGTCCCTTCCCAATTCAGTGTGGAACCCTGGGAAGGTCACATGGGACAGAAAGAAGGTGTGGGAGGGGGAGCCCCAGTCTTGGGGAGAGGCCTGTCTGGAGCTGGGGATCACCTGGCTGTGCTGGGAACTGAAGAGAAGCTCAGCAGAACAGAGCTGGCAAGGGGCCAACAGCAGAAGCAGGAGGGACACAGAAGTGACTGGAACGCAGGAGGGCAGTCATGGACCCTGAGGCTGAGCCGGGATGCTGAGGGGCAGAGTGGACATCCAGCCGGGAGCAGTGAGCGAGCCCAGCTCAGCTGTGATGCCCTCTCTTTGACCATCCAACAACAGCTGCTTGGGCTTCCCTGGCACTCCGTAACCCAGGGCCATCTGTCATGCCTTCTTCTCTCCCTCCCCCTCCCTTGAGTTGTGGCACCCACAGACAGGTGGGAGAGTGTGCCTGCCCTGCATGGTCAGAGCTTGGTTTTGAGTTTCCTTACCTCATCTCTCTTTCCTCCCACATGCCAGAACACAGGAGGATGTGTCGGAGGCATGTGAACCAGAGCAACTGCGTCTTGCAGAGGGGCTAGGTAAAATAAGGTTGAGACCACTGGGCTGTGTTTGCAGACAGTTAAGGCATCCTAAGTCACAGGTGCTGTGACCTGTATCTTGTGCTGTCTAGGAGGTCAGCACAAGATACAGGTCACAAAGACCTTGCTGATAAAACAGGTTGCAATAGGCTGGGCGCAGTGGCGCACACCTGTAATCCCAGCACTTTGGGAGGCCAGGGTGGGTAGATCACCTGAGATCAGGAGTTTGAGATGAGCCTGGCTGACAAGGTGAAACCTCATCTTTACTAAAAATACAAACACTAGCCAGGCATGGTGGCCTGTGCCTGTAATCCCAGCTACTCGGGAGGCTGAGGCAGGATAATCGTTTGAATCTGAGAGGTGGAGGTTGCATTGAGCTCTAGCCTGGGTGACAGAGCAAGACTCGGTCTCAAAAAAAAAAAAAAAAAAAAAATAGTCAAGACAAATCATGGTAGGGCTTTTTTGGTCACTTTTTAAATGTAAGTATTGAGACTTTATTTGAGACAGGGCCTTACTCTGTTGCCCAGGTTGGATGAGATTTTTAACCTTAATATTTACTTATAGAGTAACTTTTTGGTTAGTCAAAACAAGGCTGTATCTCATTCTGATCAGAAGAAAACATCAGCTAACTCAAGAGAAACATTTTACAAAATAACTGGCCAGAATTATTCCAAAGTGTCAAGGATAAAGATAAGGAAGGAACTCCCAGACTGAGGAGACGTAGGAGACGGCTGTGCTGTGGGGTCCTAGAATGGATCTGGGAACTGAAAAAGGAAATTAGTGAAAAAACGGGAAATGCAAAATGGTCTACAGTTTCGTTACTAGGATTGTACCAAGGTTAGTTTCCTAGCTGTAATGACTGGGCCGTGATTAATAAGATGTACCATTAGGGAAAGCTGGTTGAAGGGTGTAAGGAAAACGCTCACATTTTCCAACTTTTTTGCTAGTCTAAAATTAGTCAACAATAAAATGTTTAAAATAGGCCGGGCACGGTGGCTCACACCTGTCATCCTAGCACTTTGAGAGACTGAGGTGAGACGATCATTTGAGCCCAGGAGTTCAAGACCAGCCTGGGGAACAGAGCGAGACCTCATCTCTATTCAAAAAAATGTTTTTAAGTTTAAAATAAAATTCTATAAAAAAGGAAAAGAACAATGCTGTTTCATAGCGTTCCTAGTTTAGCATGGAAGAGACCAGGTCTCCCAGGGGGCTGTGTGTTGCTGGGTATGCATGGCGGGGCCAGTGCATTGGGGTCCATCTAGGCACATGCAGGTGTTGAATCACACGGCTCCCAGGCTTACCTGAAGGTGCAGCCTGGGGTGGAGACTGAATGAGGGTGGGGAGTTGTCGCAGCAAAGGCTCCTCCCAGGGGCGTCTGCACAGATCTCGGCGTTTTCACCGTGCTCCTGCTCCAAAGGCGCTAGGAAGGGGACGCCTATCAGACGAGGGCTCTGCCAGCCATCCTTCTCTGTTCAAGGTCGACCATGGTCTGCTGCCTGGGGCCTGCACTGCTGCTCCTGCTGCTGCCACTGGGTGAGCACCCCTCTCCTCCCCTGGACCCCCGAACTCTGGCTTCTCTGTCACTGCTCCTCAGTGACAAGGTGAGAGGGCAACAGATTCCAGGAAAAGCTGAACCACCGGAAGGGTTGCCATGAGAGGCCTGTGCGCAGGGCTTGGGGACACCTGGGAATTGACCCCACTATGTGCTGAGCAGCTCGCCTCCCAGCCAAGCCAAGCCTCCAACCCCTCCCGAGTCCAGTCTCAGTGCCCCTGCCCCAGGAACTTTTGCCTGTTATCTGCCATCTCCCAACTCTCTCACCCTTCCCTCGGCCCCAGCCCTCCAACTCTTCACACAGATTCTTGCTGCGAATCTTCAGTGTCTTGTATCTGTTGTTCCACCTTCTTGGACTGCTCCTTCCCTGCACGGCTGTCTCGGAGGGAGGGGTCACTTTACCGGGTGTGATGTGGAAAGTGGAATCTGGTAAAGGTTTAAGGCGGAGGAGATGAGCTGCTGTGAGAGTGGAGATGGGGTAAAGGTGTTCTGGGCAAGGGTGGCAGGTAGGCAACAGGCAGAGGTGGGTTCAAGCCCTTAGGTGACACCAGGTGCTTGTGTGTGCGGCTGAGGCCTGGGGATGTGCCTGGCAAGGCTGTGGGAGGACAGCCAAGTGTGCCCTTTGGGGAGGGGAGGAAGGGAGGACTTGCCCTGCTGCCATCTATCCCCTCCACTCAGGGACCATTCTAAGCCCTCAACCTATGTTCATCCTTCCTGCAGAGGCCAGTGCTGAAGTCACAACACTCTCACTACGCGGTCCAATCCACAGCCTGAAAGACACAGCCATTGCCAGAGAGGCACCCTGCTCCTAGCCTTGGGGCAGGAGACCACCCCCTATCCCCTGTGCACACACACAGGGAGAGGCATGAGAGGTGGGGCTGTGCACCTTCACTCAGGCTGGGCACCAGAAAGGCTTCTAGTCTCAAGGAGGTGCTCCAAACTGGAGGACTTGTGGGGCTGGGGGGATTTGATTAGCCTGGTTTTGGTGACTCAGGTCCTAGAAAGGGGCTACCAAGTCCCAACTTCGAGTTACCCTGGCTCGATTTAGACATAGCCTGTGGGGCATCTGAGCAGAGCTCACCCTTTGTCTACCCAACTCCTGGTGTGTGACTCTGTGGTGCCAAACACCTCATCTGTCCCCAGCAGGGTGCCACTTATCATGGGACCCAGTCACTAAAACCACTGATGAACCCTTGGGTCCTGTGGCTCAGGATAAAGCTCTGCGATGTGTCGTCAGGGCCCTCTCTGAATCCAAACCCTGGCAGCCAGGACTCAGCTCTTCAGTGAATCCTCTCTCCCGCTGCCGGGGGAGAGTAGAGGGGCTGGGGGAAGGCAGTCCAGATGGGCCAGGATGACCTTGACTCAAGGGAGCATCAGGAAGGGCTAGGGAGGGAAGACACCGATGCAGGGGGCAGGAGGAGGAGCAGGAGGTCAGGACAGAGGGAGAAACAGAAACCGATAGACCCATCCAGAGGGTCTCCGTGGTGGGGGATAAGGGGTGAGGCGGAGTCTGTAGAGGAGAAAAGGTGTGGCATCCCAGCCTGTCATTAAGAGACTAGGAGCAGCCACTGTCTTCAATGCCTTCTCTGTTTTTGTTGTTTTTTGGACATGAACTTTCACTCTGTCACCCAGGCTGAAGTACAGTGGCCTGATCTTGGCTCACTGCAACCTCTGCCTCCCGAGTTCAAGCAATTCTGCTGCCTCAGCCTCCTCAGTAGCTGGGATTACAGGCCCCTGCCGCCACGCTTGGCTAATTTTTGTATTTTTAGTAGAGGGGGGTTTCACCATACTGTATTGGCCATGCCAATATGGTCTCGAGCTCCTGACCTCGGGTGATCCACCTCGGCCTCCCAAAGTGCTAGGATTACAGGCATGAGCCACCGCGCCCAGCTCATCTCTGGTTTTCAAGTCTCCATTGGCCAGATCCCCAGAAAGCCTCATTGTTCCCCTGTCAGATAGGGCCCGTGAGGGTGGGAGGAGCCCCTGGACCTGTCTTTGGACTTGTGTGGCCGTTCTGAGAGTGGTAGTGATGCCTAGGAAGGAGGGGCCTCAGCTTCTGGGGAAGGCCTGGCTCAGCCTCGTTGCGCCCTCTCCATCCCTGACGTGTTGCAAGGCCCTCGAGAGCCCGCCGCTGCCCATCCCCACGACAGAGCGCCGGTCTGTGCCAGCCGGCCCCGTCTTTGGGCTATACTCTGTGCCTCCTCGGGTTTTCAGCGTCCCCCACCTTCCGGGGGCATGGACAGACTGGGTGAAGTTTGCAGGCAGGGCGCCGCACCGAGACCTGCAACCGGCCCGCCCCTTTCCCAGGGTCGGTGAATTCGGCCGGAGGGAACCGATGTGTGGACGCGGCCGAAGCCTGCACGGCGAACGCTCTGTGCCAGCGGCTGCGCTCCGAGTACGTGGCGCAGTGCCTGGGCCGGGCCGCGCAGGGGAGGTGTCCCCGCGCCCGCTGCCGCCGCGCCCTGCGCCGCTTCTTCGCCCGCGGGCCACCCGCGCTCACCTACGCGCTGCTCTTCTGCCCCTGCGGGGGCTCCGCGTGCGCCGAACGCCGGCGCCAGACCTTCGTGCCCTCCTGCGCCTTCTCCGGGCCCGGCCCCGCGCCTCCCTCCTGCCTGGAGCCCTTAGGGGTTTGCGAGCGCAGCCGGGTCTGCAGGTGCGCGCGGGCGGGGGCGGAGCGGGGAGCGGGAGCGGGGAGCCGGGAGCCGGGAGCCGGGAGCCGGGAGCAGGGAGCAGTGAGCAGGGACCCGGCCGCGGCGAGGGTGGAACTGGGGCGAGGAGCGGGGGCGGGGCCGCGGCGAGGGTAGGGTAAGGGTGGAGTGGGGGCGGGGCCGTGGCGAGGGCGAGGTGGGGGCGGGGCCTCTCTCCAGCTCACCGCCCTCCCTCCCAGCAGGCCCCGCCTCCTGGCCTTTCAGGCCTCCTGCGCGCCCGCGCCCAGCGCCCCCGACGGTTGCCTGTGGGACCAGCGCGCCCGCTGCGTGCGCGCCTACGCGGGCCTCATGGGTACGCACGGCTGGGATCTGGGCGCGGGGGGGCGGGCTCTCCAGGGGATGCCTCTGCCTGGGTGGGCCGATCGATGACCTCGCCGTCGGCGTCCCCGCAGGCACAGCTGTCACTCCCAACTACGTGGACAACGCGAGCGCGCGCGTGGCGCCCTGGTGCCACTGCGGAGCCAGCGGGAACCGGCGTGAGGACTGCGAAACCTTCCGGGGGCTCTTTACCAGGAACCCCTGCTTGGGTGAGGGGCCCGGGCGGAGGTGGAGGGGGAAGGCTGGGTCGGCTTACTGCCCCCTTCCAAGCCACCTTGCCAGGAGCCATTTAAGAGGGGAGAGTGGAAGACTGTACAGTTGAGTCACTCTATCGCAGCTGTCCTTATTATTTTATTATTCCTCACCACGCACCTTCCCTCCCAAGGAGCCAGTCTTTGCAGCAGGAGATCTCTCAGTTTGTCCCCACGGAGCAGGGCCCTGGGAGAGCGTTTCCCAGCCAAGCACACCCTGAAACCCTCCCCCCATAGATGGTGCCATTCAGGCCTTTGCCAGCCGGTGGCCCCCAGTCCTGCTGGACCAGCTGAACCCCCAAGGGAACCCTGAGCACAGCCTCCTGCAGGTAGGTGCAGGGAGGGGAGGGTAAGCTGGCACCTCCCCCACCGTCCCCTTCACACGCTTCCATGCTGGGTGGGCCTGGGTGGAGGCATGAGGGGCCTGGGGTGGGGGTGCAGGCAGAGGGCAGAGCCAGTCTTCTGCCTCAAGTCTGCACTCGGCTCCCACTCTCAAGGTGTCTTCCGCAGGCGGGGCCCTGGAGGGGCACTCCCTGCTCTCCATACTCCCTGTCCTGGCTCTTCTGGCCCTACTCTGACTAGGACAGCGATCTCGGACAGCACAGCCAGCTACCCCACCCTGCCTGCCTGGGCCACCTCTGTGGCCTACTGGCCCATTGAAAAGGGACTGGCCTACCTCCCACACCGGCCCTGGTGCTCTCACCCTGCTGCCCTTTGTGGGTCTGGACATCCTGTGTGCCATCCCCTGGAGCAAGGGATGTAGGCTGGGCCTTACTGCAAAGCCCCCACTCTCCCTGTCAGGAGGCATCTTGGTTGTAGGTCCCTTTACCCATAGACCTTGAGACAATTGGGGTCTCTCAGAAGGTGAATCAGTAGAGGGTCACTTCTGTAGCTGAAGCCTCCCTGGAGCCCCAGATCACCTAGGGAAGGTCAGAGACCTTCCAGACTCCCAGAAATCTAGGAAATGGTATCAGCCTGCCAAGCAGATAATTCCCTAGGAATGCATTGGGCAGACTTAACAGGCAAGACCCCTTCTAACACTGCATCCTCCCGCTGGGCGTTACCCACCATTGCCACCTGTGCACCATGAGCATGCTGGCAGTCCTTCCTGTTCTCCATATGCTGCTGCATGGGCCCCACGCTGTGCTCTGCCTGGCACTGGCCTTGTGGCCATCTTCCCCCTGGTTTCCCACAGCCATGGGAATGGCATACAGTGCTTATTAAACCCATGTGCACTGAGACTGACCTTGCTTTTATGTGATCTGTGACCTGGGAGCCTGGAGACCACGGTCTGCTGCAGTGTGTGCCCCTGCTGGCCTGCGTGACCTCAGATGGCCTCAGAACCTGTCTGGGCCCCATCACCTCACCTAAGGAAGCTGAGATGAATCAGCTGTCAGCTCCTCATGCCAGGGATTGCCATTGCTTTCATCTCTTCTTTCCTTCTCTACTAGTACTCAGATAATGAAACTATTTCCTAGCCTCCCTTGCAGCCGGGGGTGGCCATGTCACACACACTGCCCGATGTGGACCCAGCAGATGCCAAGGGTGGTCTGTGTTTCTGAGATAGGGTCTCACTCTGTCACCAGGTGGGGGTGCAGTGGCATGATCATAGTCCACTGCAGCCTTGAACACCTGGGGTGAAGCGATCTTCCTGCCTCCTGCCTGCCTCCTTCTTCCTCCAAAACTTGGAAACTCCTGATAAGAAAAGGGTTCCTGTGCCTCTGGCTGCTCCTTCTGTGGCAGGAGGCTGAAGTGGAGGTTGTCGGGGCCTTGCTCAGGGACTTCTCCGGGCCAGTACAGCACATCCCGCAGCCACTGGGAATGGTGGCTTGTAACAGCTCAGAGCTATCCCTTCTGTAGGGAACTGCACTCCCAGAAATGCCTGTTGGGTTTTACTCTGCTCCCAGAGGCAACTGCAGTTGGTGACTGACTGCCTCAAGGAACATGGCATTGTTGTGTGCTGTTCCTGGTCCAGAGCCCCTTTGGGGTCAAGCTGAGGCTAGGCTCCAGCTGGGACCCCTGCCTGGCTCAGCTTCTACCCTGCCTGCCTCCTCCTGCTTTCCTCACTGGCAGGCTCCCCTGAAGGCGTTCCCTCCATAAATCATGGCATTTGAGAATTCCTGTCTTAGGCTTGGCTTCTAGAGATCCTGACCTAAGTCACAGGGGTTAGACCACACAAAAACTCAGGCCTGGAGCTGTCCTGTTGGGGAAAAGAGCCACCAGCTCTGAGATCTAAGTGTGGACTTAGCAGCTCACACCAAACCCGCAAACACTGTTTCCTGGCAGCTGTCCACCAGCCTCTCAGCTTCAGTCAGGGCTCTCTTTTTTTGAGACAGAGCCTCGCTCTGTCACCCAGCCTGGAGTGCAGTCGGCTCACTGCAACCTCCACTTCCCAGGTTCAAGCGATTCTCCCACCTCATCTTCACGAATAGCTGGGATTATAGGCTAATGCCACCATGCCTAGCTAATTTTTGTATTTTTAGTAGAAACGGGGTTCCACCATGTTAGCCAGGCTGGTCTTGAACTTCTAACCTCAGGTGATCCACCCACCTTGGCCTCCTAAAGTGCTGGGATTACAAGTGTGAGCCACTGCACCCAGCCAAGGACTCTTGACTATAACAAACAAATCAGAGTGACTTGAGCATGTGCCTGAGCCATGCGGGCTTCAGGCACAGCTGTCTCCAGGGTTCAAATGATGTTGCCTGTGCTGATCTGTGTGTTGGCTTCCCCTGCGGCCAGGCAAGCTCTCACCGAGAGGTTAAGACTTCCACCAGCAGCCCAGCTTTACAGTGTCTCCTTTTAGCAGCCTCAGTAGGGAGAGGTACCTCTCTCTTCCGGCATTCGTGGACTGTCCCAGGCAGAACTCTGATAGACCCAGCATGGATAATGGGCCTCCTCTGTAGAACGCTGAGTGATCTCAGCCCACCATGGTGACATGGAACGGAAAGGACAGTTTCCCAAAGGAAAAAAAGGAGTTGCTGGGCAGTGAAGCTGAGTCTAGCCCATTCTCACTTTACAAAGAAGATGGAATACTGTCAGGCACCCACACCTGTGTTAGAATGGACACCTGTAGGTGGGTTGGGGAGAGGCGGGGTATGTGCATTGAGTGAGGGCTCATCACCTTGTCCTGATCACCACAGTGGCATCGTAGCCCAAATGCAGAATTATATCTGCTAAATGATTTGCCCTACATCAAAGTGTGTTCAACTCTTCTCCATTTTTGAGTCAGTTAATTAGAGTAAAATGTATGCATTAAAAAAAAAACTGGAGGAAGCTGGGTGCAGTGGCTCGTGCATTTTGGGAGGCTGAGGTGGGTGGATCACTTGAGGCTGGGAGTTCGAGTACAGCCTGGCCAACACGGTGAAACCCCATCCCTACTAAAAATACAAAAATTTCGTCAGGTGTGGTGGTGCATGCCTATAATCCCAGCTACCCAGGAGGCTGAGGCAGGAGAATTGCTTGAACCCAGGAGGTGGAGGTTGCAATAAGCCAAGATCATGCCACAGCACTGCAGCCTGGGAGACAGAGGACTACTCTGTCTCAAAAACAAACAAACAAACAAACTAGAGGCTGGGCAAGGTGGCTTACTCCTGTAATCCCAGCACGTTGGGAGGCTGAGGCTGGAGGTTTGCATGGGATCAGGAGTTTGAGACCAGCCTGGGCATCATGGAGCCTGTCTCTAGAAAAAGTTAAAAAATAAATTAGTCAGGCATGGTGATATATGTCTGTCGTTCCAGCTACTCAGGAGGCTGAGGCTGGAGGATCACTTGAGCCCAGGAGTTGCCTGCAGTGAGCCATGATTGTGCTAGTGTATTCCAGCCTGAGTGACAGAGTGAGACCCTGTCTCAATAAAAAGTAAATAAAAACCAGAAATGAAATGACTTCAAACAAAAATAGAATTGTGGATTAAAAATATAGGCATATGCTTCCAAAAGATCAGAAAAATAAAAAGGACAGAAACTATTTGAAAATTATGAGATTGCCTCACGGCTGCCGGTGGTCCCAAAGATACATCCACGTCCTAATCCCTGGAACGTGGAAACACTGCCTTATATGTAGGCAAGAGTATTGCCCTCTGTGGCAAAAGATGCGATTAAGTTGTGGTTTGTTTTTTTTTTGAGACAGAGTCTTACTGTCACCCAAGCTGGAGTTCAGTGGTGCACGCAAAGCCCACTGTAGCCTCAAACTCACAGGCTCAAGCAGTCCTCCCACCTCAGCCTCCTGAGTAGCTGGGACCACAGGTGTGTGCCACCACACCTGGCTATTTTTAGTAGAGACAGGGTCTCACCATGTTGCCCGCTGGTCTCCAACTCCTCACCCAAGTGAATCTCCCACCTTGACCTCCAAAAGTGCTGGGATTACAGGCGTGAGCCACTGCGCCCAGCCAAGTTACAGATCTTGAGAGGAGCTTATCCTGGATTATCCAAGTGGGCTGTCAACACCTGTATGTCTCACCTCTGCATCTTATAAGAGTGATGCAGAGGTGTCTAGAGGGAAACTAAACAGACACATTGAGCAAAAGGCCACAGGAGGACAGAGATAGGGATTGGGGTGATGCAGCCACAAGCCACCAGAAGCTGGAGGAGGCAGGCACAGATTCCCCTGGAGCCTCCAGAGAGACTACAGCCCTGCCAACATCTGCATCTCAGACTTCTGGTCTCCAGAGCTGTGAGAATCAGTTTCTCTTGTTTGCAGATACTGAAGTTGTGGTTATTCTGGCAGCCCCAGGAGACTAATAGTACTGCCTAAGAACGTTAGAGTTTGGCTTATGTTACCTCTACCTAAAAAGGTCCTGGTTTATACAGTATTAAGTCTGCCCACAGGAATGAGTCATGCCTTGTTCCTCCACATCTGAATGTCAGCCTCCTTGTCCTGCCAGGGAGCTGTCACTTTCGTGCACAGGCTTTGGGAGATTGCAGTCCTTCCCCCAGACTACCCTCCCGTGACTGGCTCTCTGTTACCTGTTGCCTGGCAGGTGGCTGGGAGTGGGGGTGATGCAAAAAGGCAGGTGCTGGACACGTCCATGGATTTATTGCTGGAAACTTCACGGCTCATGAACGCCCATCCTGGTGTGGAGCCCAGTGATTAGGTGCAAGGTTGAAGTGGAAACCACTCACCGCCCACCAAGTGAGTCAGGCTCACAGAACCAGCGCATTTTTGTATGAAATGTGGACACAGGTCGGTGAAATTTCCAGAGGGCCAGAAGGACAGGGGCTGTGCAGGGCTTTAGAAGCAGTCCTTCGACTGGACAGCAGCTTGCCTGTGAGCCTGGCACGCGTGTGAGCTGAAGCAGAAGGGCACGGCCCTGCCTCGCCAGGCCTGGGAAGGCCTGGATTAGAGGATGTCTGGGGAAGCTGCTCTGCTCGGGGCAAGTCTCCCCACACCCAAATGAACCTTCAGTTCAAGGCAGGAGAGAGAGAGAAATTAAGAAGATGAGGACACACACTAGAAAATAAAACACAAACTGAGAATGGAGTCTTCAAGGGACAGAAACCAAATGTGGAAGGAAAGGCTTACAGGGCACGCCAATGGGCCCTGGCAACTCCATCCAGCACATTTGAGACAGCCATTGGGATCTTCCAGGCTAACCACTTTCTTGTTTCCGGGACACAGGGTGGAAAGGAATTCTTGCTGGGGGGGCTGCAGGGCGTGTCTGTTCAAACGTGACCCATATGGATGCCAAGCATGACACCGCTGTTGTTGACAGAATTTGCCAAAATGAAGACCAGCTGGTGATAAGTTTTAAGGAAAACAAAGTTCAGTTTTCCCTTGATTACACAGTAGTTGCATTCCTGGAAAACTGGCTGTATATTAAACCAGCTCTTAAATACTTTGTGTTTATAACTAGGTTAGGTTCTGCGCGCAAACAACTGGGAACAGACTTTTTCATGCTCACAAATATCCAGCAGGCCCACCAGGCATGCTGCCCACTCAGGGCCTCTGCACAGGTCACCCGTTTGTAATGCTCTTCTCTCAGACCTCCACGTTCCTTCCTGCTCCCTCCACCCATCCTTCTGCTCAGCTGTCAGCAGAACAGCTTTCCCAGCCACACCACGTTAAGCAGCAATCCCTGCAGGACTTTCTACCCCCAGCCCTACTTTTACCTTTCTTCATAGCGCTTTTCTGACGTTTTATTATCATCTCCCCTGCTAGGTTGTGAACTCCTGGAGGACATAGCTTTTTGTCTGTTTTGTTCAGTGCAAAATCTCTGGTCCTGATGCAGTGCCTAGCCCTGATGTGCTCAATAAAATTTTGTTGAAGAACTAGGTGAATAAATCTAGAGAATAATTCACTTAAGCAGGGTAAGAAAAGATACCTAATTCTACTGCCTTTGGCCTATCATGCTCTGTTTCACAAAGTCATTCAGGGACCCAGGCTCCTTCAGTTCTGTTGTATTACCACCTTCGACATAAGCCTTCAAGGTTGATGGAGAGAGTGGAAGAGACACTCACTCTGAATGGCCTTGAAGTGACACATCATTGGTGAGGGCTGGTCCCATGGCTTTCCCCAGACGCCATGAGCCCAGGCCATGCAGTTGAAGCTGTGGACTCAGGAAGAAGAAATTGAGTGGTAAGCATCTAGCCGATCTCTGGCCCAGCTTGCCATTCTGATCACCAAAACCAGTTTTGTGCTTCCTCTCTCTCCTACAGGGGTCACAGGCACCCTCTCCAAGGGGACAGTACAAGGTCACATCCCCGCCCAGACCTCTAGGTGATGCAGTCACCCTCAGGTGGCCCTTTGAAGACCCACAAGCCTGAATTAACAAGACAACTTAATCCACCTCACACGCAGCAGGTAGTGATGAGAACAGGTAGAACAGCTTCCTAAGCCCTCCTGCCCAGGAAGGAGCGGGTGCAGATGCAGCAATCACTGCTCTGGGGCATTTTTGCAGTCCTGCTGGGCCCTGCCCTGGGCTGGGGGGAGTCCTCACTCAGGCCCAGTTCTGCTTTTGGGCCACATCTGAGCTTGTCAGCTCTCGTGGACACAGCTTTCACAACCGTCTTCCTGCCTGAGGGTGGATTTAGGACTTCCTCAATTGCCACTGTTTTATTTTTTTTTAAGGCCTTGCTAATGGTTTCTTAAATTTAACTACATCTTTACTTATTTCCAGGCAGGTCCAGGATCAGTGACTACACTCGTGGTTTGTTCCTGGAAACAGTTCTCACATCAGCTTTTTCTTTGCTTCCTTAACCAGGTGCCCCTCCCTCAAGTTGGTGGCTTTGCAGTTTCCAGGCACCAGTGGGAAGACCACACCCTTCATTGGATGGTCACCACCAGGCCCTCACTGTGTTCAACTAAGTCTCACGGGGCCTTCGTTGCTCACCTGCACCTCTTACTGCTTGGGGACTAGAAGCAGTTGGCTTTTCCAGAATTGCAAGGCCCTGGTTGACGTCTTTCCACCCCTTTTCCCTTCTGCGTGTAAACTGGCTAATTCTTTCCTGGAGTAAACTTCTTCTGGTGATGTGTCGCCAAAAGCAGCCAATAATAATCAACACATAGGACGATGTCTTTTTCATTTCTTTCCCTCAAGCCAAAAAGTCAGCAGGCATGGAGTTTGCTTTCTGAATTACCGAGTAAAACAGCCTTACCACGTGTTTTGCTCCGCCTGGCAGAGACCTGAGTTTCCTGCCAGCTGCATCTGTCTCCTCACTGCCCGCCACCTGGCCACACGCTGAGCCAGTGCCACGTACTTTAGGTTTTGGTTACAGGTGCACTGCACTTGAAAGTGCCGATTTATTAGCGAGAATAAGAAAAGCTAACTGGTGTAACAAAGCCCCAGATCTCAGTGGATCAGTACAGCGCAAGTTTGCTTTCCAGTGATGCAAGGGCCAACACAGCTCTGACTGATCAGGTGGCCTGCCTCTAAGGGGTGACTCGGACTCACAGTCCCTCCAGTGTCTTTGACATGTGGCTCTCAGGAGAGTCCCCTGTGGGAGCATTTGTGTGCCAAGTTTGGAATTGGTGCCCGTCACTTCTTCCAACCTTTCCTTGGCCATGGCTTAGCTTGGTTCCAACCTAACTACAGGGAGGCTGGGAAATGATGAGCTGTGGGCCCAGTAGGTTTGGTAAACACAGCGTTATCTCTGACACAGTACCACCAAATCACAGGTTTCTATCCTGTTAGAAACTGTTGCTGGCTTCCACAGCCCTCCCTGGAAGAGTTTCAAGGTCCTCAACTTGTTTGTGGCTACTAGTCCGGCCATTTCCCTCTCCAAGTCAGACCCGAGCTCTGGTGGGCAAGCCTCCTCCAGGCTCCTGCCCTCACCTCAGCTCCTGGCCCTAGTACCCTGCCGCCCTCCCCTATAGAAGTGACTGTCTTCTTTGTGTTTTCTCCATCTGTCAATGACCTCATTCCTCTGGAAGGAAGCCCTTGCACTGGGAATCTGCTCTCTGCTCTGAGGTCCTGAAATGCATGACTCTGACCCATTCTGAGGGTAGGAGCCAAATAAAGTGGGGACGCACAGGAGGCCCCCAAACAAGGCCTTGCCAATGGGAATACCTTCATGAAAAAGTCAAGGCCAAGGACAACAGTGTGGCCATAGTTGAGACCTGTCAGCACACCTGAGATTTAGCAGTTTGGAGAGAACCTAGAGGCACATTCAAGGGCCCTTGAGGAAAGCGCGAAGCGGAAGGATAATGGCACCACTGGAGACAGTGGTGTGGTTAGTGGAAGGGTGAGACGGCTGTCCACACCCCACTGCTCAGAGCTGTCCCTGCCTCCACAGGCAGGGTCCCACACCAGGGCACAGCTGCCCCGCAGGCACACAAAGGCTGTCACGGAAAGTCTGTGGCTCACAAGTGCTTGAAGGGGTGTCTGAGGTGCCTGCAGGGGTTTTAGCTTTCACCTCCGTAACTGTCAAGTGCTCCCTCAGAGGCAGTCTGAAAACTGGTAAAAGCTTAAATACAGGCAAAACAATGCAAAATCAAAATGAAACACTCAGAACAAAAGCCACATTTTTACCAGATCTACTTTTATTTCAGAAGGAAGTTTGTATTATTTACTTTTGTTTATATACAAGTTCTTCACATTTGTGTTTAAAATGCACAGACCTCCCTTAGTTCTCTTGTTCCTGCTTAAATTAGCCGTTATTTTACAATACAAAAAATACCAAAAAATTGCAGTCCTAAATGTATGTATAACACCCACAATCCCCAGCAATGAAATAGTTTACAATACTTACTCCATATTTACATGTGTAATAGATGCTAAATTATACATATTAACAAACTAAGCTTGAATCCAAACAAAACTGTAAATAACTATAAAACAAAAACATTTCCAGAGGCAGAATTAGTTCAACGAAACAGGCTTCACTAGTGTTTAGAACGTTTTGTGCACAAATTCAGTTACTGAAAGTTGATTCTATTATTGCCTTTAAAAGAGAAGGCGCCAATTTTCCTCTCCACTCCAAAACATCTCCCTGTAGGCAGTGTGTTTGACTTTCCTCAAGGGGCAATGTCTCTTGGTGGAATGGCTATCTAGAAGCCACTGCAGTGGCTGCAGCCAAGTTTGGTCAATGGGGTCATTTGGTCATTTCAGAAGGTAGGCAGGGCATGCCCAGAGGACAGGAGGCCTCTGTCATCCTGGCTCTGTCCTCAGGATGGCCAATTCTCACAAAAACCACCACAAGGAAAGATCTCCTGGGATGACGGGTGTGAGTGTGAGGAGTTAGATTTTACTTCTAAAATCTATTTTTAAGTCTCAGTCACTACCCTAGCATTAGCTTAGGTTAGTGTTTAGCAAATACTTGTTGAATGGATGGATGAATAAATGAAATGGAAGGATCAAAGATGTGCATGAAAACACCACCATCTCCCAAGGAGGCGAATCAGCCCCTGGTCCCAATACCCCCAATTAAATCAAAGGAGCGACATTTGCACCGGAAGGTAAAATGCCTCTTCCCGCTGGCAGTGCCCCGCCTGGTCTTTTTATTTCCTGGTGTGTCTCCAGTCTTGAATGGCAGGCCTTACCCACAGGTATTCCAGTACTTTCCTTCTGCTGACAGTCTTCTGTCCAGGGCTGCCTTTCCTCCGGGTTAGCTCAGGGGATCTGAGGTTGCCTTCTCTCCACACAGGGAGGCGCGGGTTTCTCCCCAGGCTGTGTGCAGGGGCAGCAGGGGGCACACAGGAGTCCAGGGTGTGTCAAATTCTCCATGGGGAAATGGGAGCTATTTATCAACAAACCAGCTCCCTACTGCCACCCCCAGTTTTCAGTATAATAAACTGATTCCAGGAAATGGTCATTAAAAATTTAGACAAAACTACAAAAAATGGAGAACCCCCTTTTAGAAAGTCTGATTGCCACAGGTTATAGTCTTTGACTAAGAGAAACATTTCTCAGGACAAGACTGGTCATCCCTCACTACCTAGAGTATTAAGGGGCTGCCGGAAAGGGTCATGATGTGCTTGCAGGGCCAATGGCAGCGGCAGAGATGCCTCTGCTTCCTGAGTCCCCTCAAGGCTGCCGTTTGGATTCCTTGCCTGGTTTTTCTTTTTTTGAGACGAGTTTGGCTCTTGTTTCCCAGGCTGGTGTGCAATAGTGCAATCTTGGCTCACCACAACCTCCACCTCCCAGGTTCAAGCGATTCTCCTGCCTCAGCCTCCTGAATAGCTGGGATTACAGGCATGCATCACCACGGCCAGATGGGGTTTCCCATGTTGGTCAGGCTAGTCTGGAACTCCTGACCTCAGGTGATCTGCCCACCTCAGCCTCCCAAAGTGCTGGGATTATAGGCATGAGGCACTGTGCCCGCCCCCTGCCTGATTTTTCATATACACTCTAACAGATGAGTCCTCTTTTAAGAATTACCTAATTGGTGCCAGATGCATGTGAACACATCAACACGATGGGGATGCGTTTCTTGGCTTTGTTATTCATGTATCGGGGCCTGGCGAGAGGAACTCTCGGAACCTGGATATCCAGCATATGGCACAAAAACAACTTAGGTGAAACTCAGACATTGTTATATTTAATAAAAATACATTAAGATTTTTTCTTTTTTATGTACACTCCAAATGTCTGAACATTCTGGACACTACTGTATAGTTATGTACAAGTGCAAGGTCAGTGTTTTCTGGACTATTTTAATTTATATACAGGCTCTCTTGTGACACGCAACATTGCCAGATGACAACCCATTCCCTCTTGGTAACAGGCTCTCAGCCCAGCGCCTCTTACTCCCTGCCATTCCCTTTTTCTGCCCTGAGGCTGGAGGAAGCTGTTTGCTGTTGGTTGCAAAGGAGAAGCAGGTGGATTCAGCGGTTTCCCCACCGCTGGAGCAGAATGAAACTTCGCTTGCTCCTTCCTTCCTTTTTAAAAATAAACAATATCTTTTAGGAAAAAATTAAGACACAACCAGATGGCTGCCGGTCATTGTGCATGATATTTCAAGGCATAGGACTAACACGGGGAAAGAGACTTCTTTGGCCAAGGAAATGGTCCTCTGAACAAATGAAGAGGATCTTCCTTGCAGGAGGACAATGCCCAGGGCCTCCCTTTTGCCTCACCTGGGGGACTGTGGGAATCAAGGGCCAGTCCACGGCAGGCTCCATGGGTGCTGTGTTCTGTAGCAGGGATGGGGGGCTCATGAGAGGAGGGGTCTTTTTTAGAACGTCTGCTCTTTAACAATAATGTGAAAAACAAGCTTTATGAGAGGTGAGTCTCGAAGTAGAGGTGTTTTGTGCATCAGATAGTGTTTTATAGTTCAACTTCCTTGAAAACATCTTTCCAGTCAATTCTTCATGGGAGTGGGGTTAGTGTTGGGGAAGAGATAATACTCTCTCTCTAGGCACTGCATTTAAAGGTGAAATGCCGCAGTTTTAGCTCTTTTGAGTATTTCTCCAAATTCACAAACTTGAGTATTGCTGTCCAGAGGTCCATCCCAATAGGGTAATGCCAGCAATCCCAGGTTTTGAAGCAGAGGAGAGCTTCTGGGATGCTGCTGCATAATGCCAGAATACAGAGCACCATAAATGGGGAAAACACAATTTCCAGGCAGTGCCCTCTGGGGAGAGGAGCAGGGGACTGTCCCACCCTCTTAAATCTGGTCATTTTCCATTTGGCATAGAGTTTTCCCTCCTTGTCCATTTTTTCCATGTGCTTTTCATCCTTGTCAGCATTTGCTGCCCCCCTCACAGCCACCACCTCCATCTGAGAGGGAGGGTGGGTGGGTGGAGACCTTCCCGAGGAAAAGAGGGCAAACAGGTCCTTCTCCAGGTTTTGGGCAGCTTCCGCCCAACAGTGGGAGGCTGTCCCTCTCCTGGCATCTGAGTTCACCCAGCCTGAGAATGAACCGCAAGTTCAGAGGAGGCTGCAGGACACACAGCTGCTCTCCGATCCAGGGGTCCCAAGTGTTCTCAGTGCTCTTTTCTGCTCAAGGAAATGTGACATCAATGAGTCCTTTCCTCTGTGCCCTGGCAGGAGGTGGCCAGAGGGCTGATAACTTATCAGGCCTAGGGTGACACTGGGGTGGGGGCAGGGGGCGCCTTGTTGACAGTGTCCTTTTTGACAATAAAAACAGGAGCTTTCACAGTTCATTCATTTCTGCTTTCCTCTCATCCTGCTGCTAGGTCAAACGTCCCTTGGGGTGAGAAAATTCTTTCCTGGCTGCAAATCAGATTTTAGAAAAAAAGCAGATTGCCAATGGTAGCTATTTAAATTTTACAAGAATGTAGGAATGCAATTATGTAAAAACTTAGGCTTACTAACTTTCCAATTGCTAGATCTATTTAAAGTCTAGGCACTTAGTGTTGTGTGTATGTGTGTGTGTATGTGGGGGGGGGGTGAGATGGAGACGGAAAAGGAGAGGGACAGGCAGAGAGAAAGGAAGGAGAGTTTCAAATGGATTAAGACTAAATTAATCAGTTGCTATAGAAAACTACCTATTACACCAGTTTACATTCGAAGTAACACTGCTGACCTTGACATTTAAAATAGCCCCCTTCTGTCCTAGCTTGATATGATCAAAAGAGATGGACCATTATTAATTCTCAACTAGAAGAAAAGGTACTCCCTGGAAGAGAGAGAACTGCCTAAATCGTGCAAGAATAAATAGCACATCTTTTAAAAAAAGATAGCAGGCTTCAGATGAAAACAAGTTAATTCATCTGACTAGTTTTTAAAAGACCATGTTCAAGAACAACTGATGACAAAGTCTACTTGTAAACACTCCATCTTTTGTTTTTTGCACAGTTGAGACAGTCCCAAGAACAGTTTTCCACAGTGAACCTGAGTGTCTTTCCTAGTTCTCTCACTGGCTCTCCACTGGCCTCCTCCAGCAACAGTCAGCTCATCCCTGGACCTGTAATTAAATCAAGTATTTCCTATGCAGAAGTAAAAGGTTAGATGCCGGAACACGGATGGGAGAAACCGTCAAAGAAAGCTTGTGATCATGCAGGTGAGTCAGATGCTTCGAGAGTTTCCAGTCTTCTGCCCCGCACCGCACAGCCATTTCCCCGCCTCGCCCTTCCCTGCAGACGGCTCTGGTGTGCCACTCACTCGCTTGTGTGCGGGAGATCCCTGGCCCCAGCATCAGATGCAGGTACCAGGCTGTGCAGGGGGCTGCTGCTTCCGGTTTCTCACGGCGCCTGACTTCTCTTTGTATATTATCGGCATCTGCTGAGAAATGTCCACGAGGGCACTGGCCACAGCAAGACCTTGGGAGAACCCACAGAGAGAACTTATGTTGGGAGCAGCTGGCTTTTATTTTGTTTTTAAAAATAACTTAAACATTTATTTTTCAATCCTATGATGCAAAAAAAAAAAAACCCACAACAAAAAACCCCCAAAAGGTCCACATACACAAGAAAAAATATTCCTTCCACCCTGTCCCTCCCTCCACCTGCTCCTCCATCTGGGTAAATGCTTTCACTAATTTTTATGTTTTCTTTCAGTGTTTACTTATGCAAATACAAATACGTATTCTTCTCCCTTACCCATTTTTTACACAAAAGGTGTAGTTTGCCTTTCAGCACATCAACCAAGCGCAGTGCTCTGCCTGGTGGTGGGAACATACAAATGAGACTGCAGACATGTGCTAAGTGCCCAATTTCTCTTGCCTGCCTCCAAAAGGAGCCAAGAAAAAGCAGCACGCTTTATTATGAGATTCAGATTCATCCCACATCACTCAGTCAGCATTAGTCGCTTCCTTTCCATACCATGACACAGAGCAGGGCAGGCTCTGGGGCCAGGCTTTCGAATAAGCAAGGTTCTTTAACCTCCCTGTGCCTCAGTTTCCTCATCTGTAAAATGGGGATAATAATAGCACAGGGCTAGTGTGAAGAGTCAATGAGTGAACTGACATAAAGTCTTAGCACCTGGCAGGCAGCAATGATCAACAGCAATTCCCCTTTATGCTAATCACTGCCCCTCCCCCCCACCCCCCCACCCCCTTTGCTTTGGGGACTTGCAATCCCATTTTCCTTCCTGTATTGGTAACGGATTAATCTGGCATCCATTAGGGAAGGCACAGTTCTTGGGGAGCTGGATTCCTAACACACATGGGAAATGGCTACCGCAGGCTTGGAGCTCTGCTGAGACCCACCAGGAGCTGTGTTAGCAGAGTGTGTTACTCACTTTGCTGAGCCTGTGAAGGGGAGCAGGGGTGGGGGAAGACA